AAATATCGCCGTAACACATTACAGCAATGATATTTTACATTTACAATTCCTAGGACTTAAGTCTGGAAATAAAAAGTCTCTTCAGAGTTATGGCTGAGCTTAGAAACACATTTCACATAACAAGAGCGGGTATAATGGAGCTCCATATAATGTGATTACATCTGCATTTCAGAAGTGGTTATTTGAAGCATTATGTTGTAGAAAGTGAAGCCACAAAAATGAATTTCTGAAAAGCGTATTTTCTTTTCACTTGATAGTCTCTTATTTCCATACAACAAAATACATTTGTAAAATTTTCACTACCCAGATAAATTAGACGCGGCAATCTAACAGCGATCCATCGGTATGTCGGAAATGTTAAAACTGGTAACAAATCTTTCTTCTCATTCTGGTGTCATAACACTGTCCAATCACACGCAGCCCTGCCTTGACTTCTTATACTTGTTACTTTGATAAAATTAGTGACAGGAGAATTTAAAATATTACTGAAGGGTTTGTGCCATTAGGATTTGTAGGCCCCATTTGTTCCTAAACCCTCCTTGCTGGCCTAATACTTCCCTGTTTCTGGCCCAACGAAATACCAGCTGAGCAACCAGCACCGTACAGTCTCTTCTAAAAAATCGTATTGGTTGGACCCGTGCTTGCACTGTTGCCAATCTTCTGGAAAGCTCTGGAGTACAAGCTTTGGAATTACTGTGCATAGGACTGAATGGGAATGCAGGTTGCACAACCGTATCTCGCTGGAACGGAGATTGATGAATGCGTAGCTGGTAAAGGGGGCTGAGTTGGCTACAAACAAAATGTAAAGCAATCACTGAGGTACCTGTACATACCTTGTTAAAGTGGAGCTCCACCCAAAAGGGGAAGTTCTGCTTTAACCCTTTGAGGACCGTAAGATTTTGGAACGCCAAAAGAATCAATTTTTTTGTTTTTTTAAAGTTCGTACACTTCAGTTGCTGTAACTAAGCCATTTCATGAAATAATTGTTTGTTGATAAGAACTAATATTATGACTCAAACCAAAAGAAAAAAAGAGTTTTAAGTTCTTAATCAGATGATACACGCAATTAAAAACATGGGACAACTACGTCCCTTGGTCCTCAAAGGGTTAAGGACTGCTCTCCCGCTCCCCAATAATGTTTGGCACCTTTGGGGAACGGGGGGGGGGATGCGAGTACTCAAATTTGACAGGTACCCGCTCCCACTTCCGGTCCGATCGCCTAGGCGATTGGAAGCGGAAGGTGTCCTCCCTCCCTGTAGTTTTTTGGGACACGTGACAGGTCCCAGAAGACTACAGGACCTTCACGAAGCGCAGTGCTACTTGTTGCATGCGCAGTGGGTACCCGGCTGTGAAGCCGCAAGCTATCACACACACTGAAGATGCCGGCCTCCTGGAATACAGGACGGCCGGTGAAACGAGCTGCGGGGGACACACCGTGGGACAGGTAAGTGCCTGTTTCTTAAAAGTCAGCAGCTACAGCTTTTGTAGCTGCTGACTTATTTTTTGATAGGTTGAGTGGAACACCGCTTTAAATCTGGAGTTGTGCTCGGATGCCCCTGTGTGCAAAAGGCAATGCAAGCCTCTCTGATGGACAGAGGCAAGGAAAGGGTATATTGTGGATCTTCCCTGTGACTGAAGAATGGAGTGATGTGTGAGCATATTTACTTTTGTGTCCTCCAGACTTCTGTAATTTTATCCAAAGTGACAAGTTTGCACATACATTACAATCATATAATACATAAATACGGCATTTATGGGGGTCCTATGACTCACACCTTAAAATCTGCATGAAAACATCTGATCAAATTAGGTCTAATTGGAGAAAGTGAACAATCCAGCCAGACTGACAGTACAGTAAAAAAGCCCAATCCCGATCTGACATTTGTGCCGTTCAGGGCTACACACAGTAGGTGACCAATAGCTCATTCTGTCTCCCCAGTGGAGGTCTCCATACACTCAGGAACCCCTGAACAGCTCTAAGCTAGCACCACTTTAGGGCAACCACTCTATATTCTGAATATGACAAAGCCATTGTGTTGGCAGGGTAAGAAAAGTGGACCTGTCTGGACTCAGTAATCCACAGGAAGGCAAACAGGCACATAAAAGCTAAGCAGTGTCAAGGTGCCATAGGCCTGCAGCCACTTCTAAAGGGAGAGGCTACGGAAAAGTGAAAGCTTTGTAAGGGGTGAAGCATGTCAGGGCTAGCTGGTTTCTTTTATCATTTTAGTGTTCTATCAATAAGATCTTGCTGATAGAGTTGCAAGCAACAACTGCTGTTATGTTTTTGGGATTTTCTGCCCACCTTAAATGTTCCTGCTGCTCCCATTTCATCTTCTGTTATATAAAATACATTATAGTTTAAAGGAGAAGTTCACCTTTGGGAACATGTAACACTTTTGTCTAGAGTAGCGAAGAGTTAGAACCCCTGTCAGGTTTTGTCACCAGAACAAGAACTGAGAGTAAATCATCAAAGGCAACACTTTTTTTCATCTTTTCACACTTCCTGCTTCACCTTTGGGACAAGAAGCAAAGATGTATCAACAGCCCAAAAATTAATTCCTCTTATTTGGTCTCTTTTGGTCTGTTACATGTATCATTAAAAATGTTTTGTTATATCTGTTTTGACAAGTGTAAAAAAAAAAAAAAAAAAAAAAAAAAAAAAGATCCTGCCAGACATCATGTCCGCTAAAATGAAGCACAGGAAAACGGTCAGTTATATTGTCCTACTTCTTTCTGAGGACTGCAGAATCTCATCAATCTATATTAGGGACAAGAAGAGGCGTTTGTGGTTCTGTCAGTTTTCCATAGATAGAATGGATTTAATATACACTGCCCCCTAGGAAAGGAAATGTGTTACTGGCAGAATTACATGGTTAAAGGAAAAATTAAAACAAATGCGGTCACCACATCAGAGGACTGCTCAGCTACCTTTTTGTTTTGATTTTAATACAACTGAAAATAAATTTTTAATAGGACACAGACCGCAGCACAGTGGTTAGCACTTCTGCCTGGCAGCACTTGGGTCCTCTGTTTAAATCCCAGCTAGGCCATCATTTGCATGGAGTCTCTATGTCCGCCCTGTGCTTGTATGGGTTTCCTCCAGAATTCCTGGCTTCCTCCCCCCACTCCAAAGACATGATGGTAGGTTAATTGGCTCCTGTCTAAACTGGTGTGCGTGTAGGTGTGCATGGTAGATAGGGACCTTGAATGGAAAGCTCCTTGAGGACAAGGACTGATGTAAATACAAAGCCCTGCATAAGTTGTCGGCACTAGAAAAACATTCCTGTAATAATAAAAAAATTTTTTAAAAAAATTATATATCTATCTATCTATATATATATATATATCTATATAGAGAGAGAGATATATAGAGATATCTATATCTAGATATATCTATATCTAGATATATCTATATCTAGATATATCTATATCTAGATATATCTATATCTAGATATATCTATATCTATATCTATATCTAGATATATCTAGATATCTATATATCTAGATATATCTATATCTAGATATATCTATATCTAGATATATCTATATCTATATCTAGATATATCTATATCTATATATCTATATCTATATCTAGATATATCTATATCTATATCTAGATATATCTATATCTATATCTAGATATATCTATATCTATATCTATATATCTATATATATCTAGATATATCTATATCTAGATATATCTATCTATATCTAGATATCTATCTAGATATATCTAGATCTATATCTAGATATATCTAGATCTATATCTAGATATATCTATATCTATATCTATATATATCTATATCTATATCTAGATATATCTATATCTATATCTAGATATATATCTATATCTAGATATATCTATATCTATATATATCTATATATAGATATATCTATATATAGATATATCTATATATAGATATATCTATATCTATAGATATATATATATAAATAAAACCTGACAGGCGTTTTAGCGCTTCCCTAATCCAAAAGCATTAGGTTTTGCCTAAACGTATAATCTCAGATTTTCTGTACCGCAGCCACACCTCTGCAGTCTTCCTTCTGATCAGGTGCTGCAAACAACCACTTCAGAATGTAAATCCTATTCCAGGCAACCCATCTGCTGTGCAAAAGCTCAAAATGCATTCCTTCCTCTGACACCTCCTTCAATACAAGGCGACTCATATTTTCAGATGACAGCGCATTGAAGAGCAAAAAGCAAAAAAAAAAACAAAAAAAAAAAAAATGGAGGATAAGATCATTCTAATGAATATAAATTTAACATTATTACCAGTAAACGATGAATAAAACAATGCAGTTTTTCTTGCTAGAGAAAATAAAAGCAGACATACAATTTTCAGAATATTAATTTCTTATAATAAAAGTTTACCAACTGTACAAGTTAAGAAAATTATACAAGCTTTGTTTAAGAAAGGACAGTTCATTCAAAACTGTAAAAATCTCTCAAAGGCTACTAAGAAATCTGGAAAAATACACCACGTATCTTTTTCAGCCCAGATAGGAATAGAAAAAAAAGACATCATTGATGTCAATAATATATATACACAAACCTTATTTGGTTTACTCTTCTACCTATAAAAACGGTGCCGCCCCTGACGGCCCTGCTTTCCTTAGCAATTTCAGATCCGACATGTTTTGTAACAAACCAAAAATGGGAGGGGAAAAGTAAAATCCCTCCCTTTTCCAATAATGCAGAAAAATAAGTTATTTCTGACAACCCTTTTTGCTATATTTTGGATACATTCTGGATGTCCTTCCACGACGTTCCTTTTCCTTATCGAAAAAAAAAATTTCTCATTCCAAAAATGTTGTCGTGAAATGTTCTCTGGGGTGCCGAGAAATGGTAGAAGGAAAAAAAAAAAAAAAAAAAACTTCTAAAATAGAACCTGTTAAATAAGCGTTGTAACCCTGAAATTTCACGGCCCCGAGAAACGAAAATTGTTTCAAAAATGTCACAATGGAAAAATAGAACATTTTCCTTAGACCTCTCCTTGCGAAAAGATTTCCTGAGAAATGTCTGACGATCTGGGGCTGTCTTTACCGGGGCTGTCGTATCGCCGTCTTTTCACAGATCGTTCGCTGGCGTCGTCTGGCTCTCGGTCGCTCCTGGCATTGTTAGCCAGGCTGAATTTAGGGTCACCGGCAAGGCTGTCCCGGTTGTATCCGTTGGTGTCGGTCTCAATTGAAGGAGGTTCGCCAGTGCTGGGGCCATTTAAATGCACACTTCCTTGTACAGCATCATCTCTGCAGCTTGGCATGTCTGAGGGGCCATTGGAAGATACCCCTAAAAAGACCAGATAGTGATTATTACATACAATGATGCAGAAACAAAACAAAACAAAAAAAAAAAAAAAAGAAAAAGGTGCCACAGATACTACTGCATTGTCAGTAGCAGCCATCTTTGTTGTTTATTGCTATGTTGTGTTCCTTGGTACATTCTGCTGATAATATCCTTGTAACCTGCCAAGTGCTGAATAAACTTCACTGGATTTCACTTGGTCTTCTTGGCGAGTTGACCCTGCCTGCCGATTCTGGCATGTCAGCAAGTTGCCATACTGCCCACACAGTCTGGGCCTCAGGAGGCATGTGTAGCCTCCCTAACGGTCTGATTATGTCCATATTTCTGTGCTCAAAGCAGTAAATTTTTTTGCATGGAAATATGTTTTTTTTATTGTAGGCCTGTAATTTTTAGGAATAACTCACTGAAATCTGTCCGAACAAGAGTCTAGAGTAAACATCCCGGGTATGTTAAAATTTGAAACCCGAAATCATAAAAAATAATAATAAATTTAATCAAATATTCTAATCAAACCAAAAACACTGAAATTTGAAATAGAGCGCCAAGTTCACACATCACTGAGCAAAGTCACAAAATCGTTTTCAGTGTCTGATGAGGAATTTCCCCCACGAATCATTATCACTCAATTCTGCAAGTGGTTCTGATTTACTATCGCTGTTCTCTAGCCGGTCTAAAACCACTTTTGACCTAAAGGGACGCTTTTTGGACGCCATGGACTTTTCTCAGTTTCCAGGCAGAAAGAACAGTAAAAATGCAGGCAGGGCGCCGGACAAAGCACTCGGAACAAAATGTATGTGAAATGGTTTGATACAGGAATGTTATACTATGTGATTTTAGTGTATTTAGTGAATGTCACTTTTACAACTTTCAAATTTCCCGCCAGTTCCGTCCCCCGTATGTCCCGACGTCGCAGGGAACAGAACCCGGAAGACAGATGCTGGCATCGGCCGGAGGACATTGCCGGGGACACTGCAGGGGGGACATCGCAGGAGCGCAGGACAAGATAAGTGAAGAAGAGATCCCGGAGCAGCGCTGCAGTGTATTCCCGAGTGTAGCTCGGGGTTACCGCTTGTGGTGCTGAAACTTTACCCTGAGCTACACTCGGGAATACCGCCAGGGGGGTTAACTGCATAAAGCAGCATTTGAAATAAAACTACGACCGCAGATGTTAACACAAACTTGTACAGACTTTGCCCAGGCTTCCAACCCCAATTGGCAAAAGAAACAAAAAGAGCCTCGGGATAACATATAATATACAATTCCAAGTTGTGCAAGAACTAACTGCATTTAAAGTGAACCGTTCAGTACTAATGTGAATGCATTTCTGAGATGAGATGATGCAATACATATGCTGCAGGCAGAAGCAAGGGAAGCAATTCCTCAGTCTCCTCTGCCCCAGTGATCAGACCGCAGCACTCCTCTGCCCCAGTGATCAGACCGCAGCATTCCTCTGCCCCAGTGATCAGACCGCAGCATTCCTCTGCCCCAGTGATCAGACCGCAGCATTCCTCTGCCCCAGTGATCAGCAGCACTCCTCTGCCCCAGTGATCAGACCGCAGCACTCCTCTGCCCCAGTGATCACCGCAGCACTCCTCTGCCCCAGTGATCAGCACACTCCTCTCCTCTGCCCCAGTGATCACACCGCAGCATTCCTCTGCCCCAGTGATCACACCGCAGCATTCCTCTGCCCCAGTGATCACACCGCAGCACTTCCTCTGCCCCAGTGATCACACCGCAGCATTCCTCTGCCCCAGTGATCACACCGCAGCATTCCTCTGCCCCAGTGATCACACCGCAGCATTCCTCTGCCCCCAGTGATCACACCGCAGCATTCCTCTGCCCCAGTGATCACACCGCAGCATTCCTCTGCCCCAGTGATCACACCGCAGCATTCCTCTGCCCCAGTGATCACACCGCAGCATTCCTCTGCCCCAGTGATCACACCGCAGCATTCCTCTGCCCCAGTGATCACACCGCAGCATTCCTCTGCCCCAATGACCAGACCACCGCAGCATTCCTCTGCCCCAGTGACCAGACCGCAGCATTCCTCTGCCCCAGTGACCAGACCGCAGCATTCCTCTGCCCAGTGATCAGACCGCAGCATTCCTCTGCCCCAGTGATCAGACCGCAGCAGTCCTCTGCCCCAGTGATCAGACTGCAGCATTCCTCTGCCCAGTGATCAGACCGCAGCAGTCCTCTGCCCCAGTGATCAGACCGCAGCATTCCTCTGCCCCAGTGATCAGACCGCAACATTCCTCTGCCCCAGTGATCAGACTGCAGCATTCCTCTGCCCCAGTGATCAGACTGCAGCATTCCTCTGCCCCAGTGATCAGACTGCAGCATTCCTCTGCCCCCAGTGATCAGACCGCATTCCTCTGCCCCAGTGATCGGACCGCAGCATTCCTCTGCCCCAGTGATCAGACCACAGCATTCCACTGCCCCAGTGATCAGACTGCAGCATTTGCAACTTTTTAGTAAGCCACAAAATTAGGGGCTGCAGCAGGGGGCTGATCTGTGTTAGACATCTGTAAAGACAGTCCAGAACTGCAGACACACCATTTCTGAGGCAGCATCTCAGTCCGGGAAGGAGGTGACCCTGGATGATGCCTAAACAAAGATGGCTCCATTCTTTTGGAGAGAAAAGCAAACGACAGCATTGGCAGGGCAGTACTGTGACCTCTGTATGAAATACCTGGAAGTGTTGCATTTACACTTTACTTGACATGCACATACTAAGCATTAACATATATATCTGATGATAGGTCTTCTTTAAGTCTGTCTTACCGTTCTGGTTAGTGTTGCTGGCGGCGCTGTCTTCCTTCTCAGACTGGCTGGTGCTGCTGTTAGAGGTAGTGGGAGGGGGGGGATGGGGCCTGGCTGGAAGCAGCACTCTCGCTTTCATCCAGAAGGCGATCCATATAATCCCTAGAAAAGAAGGCACCTCGGTTTTTACTTTATATCGAACGTAGCTCATTGGTGAAACCAAACCCAACTGTGGACGGCTGGTCAAATGTACACACTACAACTTTACACACGAGAATTAGGGAAGACATGAACATTCTTCTGGTCTGCCTGGCCAATCACATGTATGTTAAAATGGAACAGAATTCACGAAGTGAAGACTTGCTCAGATATAGGGAACATCTAGCAATGTTAATTGGCTTAACTAGTACCATGAAAGATTTACTATTCGTTTTGAATTCATCCTGAAAAGTAGCAGTGCACTTCCAGGCATGTGAAGGTCCCTATGCACTCCTGTGTCATCAGCCTTATAGCTGTACATCTGCAGTGCAAGATCATCTAAGGCACTGCTGCTCTGTTAGCCTCACAGGATTTAGAGTAAGATTTGGTGACGTCAGTACGACACAGTGTTACGATGTGATACAACATGGAGATGGAATATGGACATGTAACAGGATGCAGTCACCCGGAAACTGTCTAAACCCGACTTATACATGGAACTGTCAGTGAACTGTGTTTTACCTCTTGTTGTGTTCGGAGTTCTTTTTCCTTCTTTAAAGCGAAGATGCGCTCACCCTATCAAAAACTAAAAGTCAGCAGCTAAAAAAAAACTGTAGCTGCTGACTTTTAAAAAACAGCCAATTACCTGTCCCTCGGTCCAGCGGTGTCCTCCCCGAAGCCCGTTTCACCAGCCGTCTGGTGTTCCAGGCGCTGGCATCTTCAGTGTGGGCACCCGGCTGTGACAGCTTGCGGCTTCACAGCCGGGTATTCACTGCGCATGCGTGAGTAGTGCTGTGCTTCATGAATGGTCCCATAGTCTTCTGGGACCTGTCATGTGTCCCAGAAGACTACGGGGAGGGAAGGCAACTTCCGCTTCGGATGCCTAGGCAATCGCAGCGGAAGTGTGAGCGGGTACCTATCAAATTCGGGTACCCCCTCCCCAAGGTGCCAATCCTTAATGGGGAGCAGGGGGCCAGTCTTTAAAGCGGAACGTCCCCTTTTGGGTGGAGCTCTGCTTTTAACCTTGTCTAGACAATGTAGGAAAGAAATGATGTCTGTAAGGCTAGGCCCAGGATGGTAACTATTGATGTATGGGATGATGGTTAGAAGCAGGTGGATCAAAAAGGACATAAAGGTATTATGCCTTTGGCTTAGTTTCTCTATTTTCATTAAGGATTCCTCTTACGTTATTTTTAATAATCGCTTTGGCTGGTATACAAATATCAAATGGCAAGCAAGCGTCCGCAGCTATCACCATTTATTATTTTATATGCCATTTACAATGTTATCTTTGGTAATCAGAATTTCTCCCTTTCCCATGGATATGTGCACGACATAGAGAGTAGCGAGAATAAGGTAGACCTTATGTACCAGACAGGATACGTAACAAGTAATACACAATATGACATGACAGCTGTGTGTTTAATCTGGTTTTTTATCACTTTGCTCTTCATGCTCTGTGATCTAGTGCAAGGCTTAAAATTTCAAGTACTGAGCTACTAGCAGGCCTTAAGAGTTAATCCAGTTGCCCCACCCAACCGCCACCCTGCCACGCCCCTAACTCCTCCCCTAAACACTCCCTCGTAAACTCTCTCATTAAATGACATTGTTAAATGTTTTATGCAGAATACAGTTACAGAAATATTTACCCTCCTTCACTCCCCCCCCCCCCCCTTATAGCCATGTCCTCTACCTCCTTTTAAAAAAAAGAAAGGGGGGTGAGAGAGAAGGGGGTGAGAGAAAAAGAGGGGGGCGATTGGTATTCCTGCTACTCACAATTATGGCACCATCCCCCCATAATTTGAGGTTATAATGAGCACACAACCCCTCACTTAGAACACATGGTCTCCATTATGGTACAATGCGCCCCCCCAGAACACACACAGGGCCCCCTACTACATAAAGTGAATACAGAGCCACCACACACACATACAGACAGACACACATACAGACACACATACAGACACACATACACACACACACACAACAAAACACACACACACACAACACACAGACACACAACACACACACAAACACCAACACACAACAAAAACACACACACACAACAGACAAAACACACAACAACACACACACACAACACACAAAACAACACACAACACCCTCTGGCTCTCTCAGCCTGTCACACTCTGTTTCTCAGCACTCCGGTCACAGAAATTTCTCCCTTTCCTCCCGCTGTTATATGCGGAGTTCTCACCAGTCTGTGGATTCTCCTCCTCCTTGGGCTGTCAGTCACTCTCTCCTCTCACACGGACCGGACTCGTAGCACGCTTGCAGAATCCACCCTGCGGCCCCTCCCCATCCTGTCAGGAGCCTGTCATAGGAACTCCTAAGGACTCTGGGCCCTTGGGTAGTGTGTGATTGCTTCATGCTGAAAGCTTATTCCGCCTCTGGTGCCGGCACCCCACTCCATATCCATCAGCTGTTTGATCGATCTGGCCCTCGCCCCCTGTGATTTCCACTTGCGAAATGCAAGCAGGCGAGTGGAAATTTCAAGGCCTGATCTAGTGTACACTGCTACTACGCAGTAAACCATACATAGATGGAAGATATACCTGTGTGGACGTCCTCCACTGCAAGGCTATTCTTAACAGCAGCTTGTGGAAAGAAATCTGTACTGCATGCATCTCCCTGCTTATTTGTTCTGAGCATCTTTGCTTCTTTTACCTCTCCTGTTGCTTCTTACAGTGGATCCCTCATCAGTCATTTGAGGGGGGGGCAGCTCTGATGTGAGGAAGCAAAGCCCTGATCCTCTACCAAGATGATTGCTTCCACCCAGAGACACAGTGCAGAACAAAACATGGTAAGCCAGTCATGAAGAAAGGATCAGCTGCAGGTAGACCACAGCCAATACTGGTCAGTATTCTTTTGTCCTCTGCATTGCACACAAAAAGAAAGACAAGGGACTAAGGGAATGCTGTATGCAAACTAAGCATTCTATATTACAAAATCATAAACATATCATATTTAGACAACAAATCCCCTTTCCTTACATTGTGGTCTGCATATATGAATTATGATGCACACATATACATGGATATTCAGCCTGTGAACTTGTGCCCATCCAAAGCTATATGCATTGTGCTGCACATATCATTTGGGTAGTCTTTAAAATCTGCCACGCGTCTCTGAGCGGTGACGCCACGCGTCTCTGAGCGGTGACGCCACGCGTCTCTGAGCGGTGACGACGCGTCCACGCTCTGCACCTTGATTCATCAGAGAATGCTTTGCATTCATTCAGAAAACGTAAAGGATTCTCTGAATGGCGCCTGTGCTGCCTTGGCCACCCTCCTGTGTTCAGAATGAATCAGACTGGCCACTCGGCACAGGACCCAGAAGCAAGTGAAGATCACTAGAGCAGTTGTTTCTACTTCAGTGATTTGCAGCTTCCAGGAGCATTGGCCAGGTATGGTCTATATACCTTATGGTCCAAGGTGAATCAACAAAACTATATATAATATAGTTATGCCTGGAATTATTCTTTAACATTTGGCTAAAGAGTCAAGACCATCCTGCAGCCTAGGCATTTTCTACAGTTCATATTCCAGATGCCTTCTGATGCAAAGATGGGGACTCTTAACAGTGTACTGCTGACATACTGTGCCCTAGGTACCAAAACCCCTTTCTGTTTTATTGTTGTACACAGGAGTAAGTGATTTGCATTGGCTGACAACATTGTCATTTGTTTTTTATATTTATTCAGAAATATTTTGAGAGGCTTTTGTAGTCAATACAAGATATACTGTATGTTGGATTTTGTGATAAAGAATGCTAATCTTGCATACAGCATTTCCTTAGGCCTTTCTTTGTGTATGTACATTGTATTGTGGCTTGGACTTTACTGTATGCCTTTTCTATTTACTCACTACTCTGCTTGGTATGTATTCATTACACAGGTGCATCTCAATAAATTAGATCAAAAAGTTAATTTCAGTAATTCAATCCAAAAAGTGCCGGTAAACACTACTGCTACTAATGCAGGCCATAGACGGGTCGTTTATTGGCTGAATTTTCGTCCGCACGAAAAATCGGCCGATATTCACGCAGTCAGTGGGGCCAGCCTGTCGGCCGTTTTTCGCGGATCTTCTCATTTATTTTTATCGGTCATGCTGGAAAATCCACCAAAAACGTCCGTTTTTCGTGGACATGGGAGGGAGCATCGGCAACGACCGATTTTTCGTTTATCGGCTGACAATTTGGACGATAAATGGCCCGTCTATGGGCCTACATAAAAGCTTCTAAAAGTCTGTGTGTGCACGGACACATAGGATAACAGAAAGGGCAGTTTAGAAGCAGTAAAAAAAAAAAAAAAAACGCCTGATGCCCCCTAAAAGTGGCATCTTGTGTATATGAGACCCCCTGTGTGTATGAGACCTAGACCTATTAATTTAAATGCAGTTACTTTGTAAAGGTGCCTCATTCTTTGTCATTTGTACAGAATGCTGTTTAGCGACTTCCTTCAAACTGTAACACTATGCAACTCATATCAAAGACCTACACGCAGCCTCATTCTTCTCTTTCTATACAAAGTACTTACGTGACGCCGGGGTGAAGGTTGTACTTCTTTTTGCCGAATCGGGTTTGCTGGGCAAAGAAGTCGTATCGCTCGGACTTCTTCCACATGTAATAAAAAGCCACACACTCGCCGACAGACCGCGTTCTTACCTATTATAAAAGTATGAGGGGTGGAGATAAGGCAACATTCGCCAAATCAGGTACACAAGGCTACATGCTGCATCACACAAGGATCTCCTATAGGAATAAGACAGTGGTATGGTGGGTTTCTTTTACAGTGCCAGAGTTGGTGTATGCAGGAGTCTCAGAAGGAACCCTGCCTTCCTAGAGTTTATATCTCTCTCCATGTTTGCATGCATTTCCTACCCATCATAAGTACATATTTGTAGGTTTACTGGCTTCTACTAGAATTAGCCCTGTTGTT